GCCCCTCCCTAAACAAAGTGAAGCGCAGGACGGGGTCCGGTGGATGGGAGGCAAGGAAACGCGGGGGGTTGCACGTGCGCTACCGCCGCCGCCGCAGGCAGCACCCCTGCGGCGGCGGCAGCGGCAGCAAGCCGTGGACCCAAACGCCGTGCCGCCGCCGCCGCAGGCAGCACCCCTGCGACGGCGGCGGCAGCAAGCCGTGGACCGAAACTCCGTGCCGCCGAGTCCCGTGGCTGTGGCCGTGGGCTTCTGGCAGGAAACTACGGCCGCAGCTCGGCAGCACGGGGGCGTCGCAGCGTGCCGCCGCCGCCGCCGCGCTGCCCCCCCGGGCACGGCGGCGGCGGCAGCAAGCTTGGGCCCAAACGCCGTGCCGCCGAGTCCCGTGGCTGCGACCGTAGACCGTGGGCCGGAAACTGCGGCCGCAGCTCGGCGGCACGTGGTTCTGGTCAAATCGCCAAGCGTGCAGCAGCGCCGAACCACGCTTCCCGGCCTCGGCGCATGCCTTCAGGGGCCCCCTATCGCTGGGCACACCCCTCCAACACCGAACATGCGCCCGGGGGGGAGGGCGGCCCGGGCTGCCCAGGCCAAAGTGGGCCGCCCTCGAGCAAGAGGCGGCCGGGCTGTGTGCTGAATGAATGAATGAATGAAACCTCCTATGTGACTGTAAAGGTAAAGGTAAAGGTGGGGAAGAGCCTCCACAGGCTTAACTTCCCGGTTTTAACGTCTAGCTTTAGACCATTATTTGATCTGCCCGACGCGCCAAGTGCAGTACCCCCCACTAGTAGTGAATGGGTCCCGGGGAGGCCTGTGCCGAAGCCTTGGCGATTCTATTAGGCGTTCCCGAAGGAATTGGCTTGGATTGGCGCTGAGCCGGTCAGCTATGCCGCGTTTGTCCTCACAAAGTTTCGACATGGGAGGAATCGAACCTGTGCCCTCTCGGAGGGTTTAGACACTAGCTCCAACGCCTTCAAAGAAGGCCTTTCTTAGCCGCGGCCCAGTGACTGTGAGTGGCTGGCGGCGCCTGCTTGCTGCATGCCATCCAGTTGTTCACCTGCCCGCCCGCCTCCCGCCTGCCATCTGCCTGCCTGCTGATCT